GAGGGAAACCCCTGCAGCCCTGCCGTCAGCACTGGACTAACCCAACCCCTGGAACTGTGGGGGAAAGAGTTAAAAATAGAAGAAAAATCTTAAATTGGGAAAAGAGAATAATAAATGATTTCTGCCAAGCCTGCTTATTTCCAGTTTCAATTTACCTGGCTTTAACTTCCAGCAGTTTAACAAGCCACTCTAAGGCCAAATGTCTGTAGTGAGATTTGCACCAGTTTGTGGCCTAGGAGCCCTGGATATGGACCCTGTTGTGCCAGGTGCTGTACAAACATATCATTGGTCTGACTGGTATAAGTTTCTCGTGGCTGAGGCTTTGAGTCTGGAGACCATGAACTCCAGTTTACCAGCAGCTCTTCTGAGCAGTCATTCCCTGGATCTTGCTCTCTATCCTGTTGCCAGCACCAGCGCCTCAGGGCTCACGTTTTTATCAATTGCTCTCTAATAAGAGTGGGTTGTGTTGTGAGGAGTAATGGGCCTTGATAGCCCAGCTTGGGTACTTGCAAGAGCCTGAGGCTTGACAAGGGCTGGTGTTAATTAGGCCTTGTGGTGAGTTGTGGGGGTGGCTGTCTCTGCAGAGCTTGGTGTGTATCCAGGGCTACCCTAGGCTGGCTCTTAATGAGCCTTTAGAAAAGGCTTGTACTGTATGCCATGTAAAGCAGGGGTCGAATGTTGCAGGTGTGCCCGACAGCCATGCAGCCTCTCCAGGGGTGAGTGCTGGATCCGCACCAGGAGGGCGGGGTGAGAGCCAAGTCTAGCTGTGGGTGTGCGGAGCCTTGTTGTGTGTTTCTACCACTCCTGGGGTGGTTACAGCATGGATTCAAACTATAGCTGTGTAATGCAGCAACACTGAAAAGTGGGGCTGGGCAGGGTCACTGCTTGGATAGGAGACCTCCATGGAAAACCCAAGCTGCCACCTGGGGTAGTGGTGATTCTATAGGTGGTGCTTTCCCTCTGAGCTGGCACTGAATCTAGTGTCCTAAGAAAGGGTACTACTGGGCTCCACGGGGGGTGTTCTCCCCCTATGCTGGGGGTGCTGAGAGGGGATGCCCTTTTTCCAGATGTTGACAGCCTGGTAGCTACTCGTTTTCCCCACAGTTTCTCCAAGTAGTAGCTATAATGCAATTGAGTCTGATTATCCTTCACTTCTGCCCGCACTGACATGCAACACTGAGCAGGGGCCAGGCCAGGGCTCCTGTGTAAACAGCTTGCCACAAGTAATAGGTCGTCCTGCACCCTGCTTTGGGGCAAAGTATGCTATTGCTCTGTGTAGCTGCTTTGCTGTCAGGATGTAGTGCTTACACACCAGGCTTTGTGGTTATGCTGAGCTGTGTTGCTGCTCAGAGCCTCAGCTTGGCTGGCCAGAGAGTTAGGCAGAGGTGGGCCTGTACTTGGGATAGGTGCTACCAAGTCGCTGGTGTTGCATGGTAAAACGGTCTGTGCAGAGGCCTCTCAGTTCAGTTCCTCCTGGCTTGTGGTGTGGGTGGAAAGCACATGAAGGGTCCTGCTATTACTGGTGGCAAACTGTGCTGGGCAGTTAGTGGTTGTAAAGGGCTGAATGTTACCCTAGGGCACGTTATCCTTCTCGGTGATAAATCAGACCCTCTCTACGGACGACAGCTATTCTGCCTGAAACTGTGCTGACATCCAGGATGGACATTCGGATGGAATTGAATGGAGGGCTGGGAGCCAAGACTCCACAGTTCTTTCCCCAGCTCTGGAAAGGAAGTGTGATCTCGTGGCTAAAGCAGCCCAAGGCACAGAATGGGGGGCTCTTACTATATCATCTCATCTAAGATTTGGGGGGAGAACCCAGGAGTCCTAGCCGTCTTCTGTGACCACTAGACCCACATTGTGTGACTTTAGAAGCTGCAGAGCACTGAGGTAATTTCCAGAGCCTTCTGAACCCTTGGATGACATGGAAGTCTGCTCTGGCTTTGTAATCCCTATTAAGGCTCCTGTGTGTTGGAGCAGGGACAGTCTGTCCCAGGGCTTGGTCTCTGGCTGGGAGTGGTTCAGGCTGCCCTAAATGTATCATGAGACTCTTCTGTTCAGGGATTTACTTTCAGTACCCCCAGCTGCAGTGCTGGGAAGCAGAGAGAGTCTCCAGCTGGAGCTGGTTGGGGCTAAGCTGCCTTTGTGTTAACGTCCTGCCACTCAGCCTGTCTGCCCATGAGGTCTGAAGTCAGGCTGGCCATTGCAACCCCTTCTTGGTCACCCCTGTGTCACTGTCACCATGTGGGAAGTTCTGCTGCTGCTGCCTTGGGTCTCAGTGGTTGAGGGTGAATTGCTGCTGTGCTGGGTCACATCCTTCCTGTGCAGAGCGGGATGGGTGGTGCCAGCTTCATTGCACATGGCATTGCCATGGCAATGTATTGAGTGATGGATTACCCTCGCAGTGACTGGGATTGGGCTGTTCTGTACAAATGGGTCTCTTCCCTTGCTGTGGCTGTGCTCACTGGCTCAATATGGTGAGGGGTTGAAGCTGTTCTGGGTGGTGGTGACAGAGCAACCTATAACACTCCCGGAGGAGAAGGCTGAAGTAGGGAATGGTCGGCTCACTCGCTCCTCAGAGATCAGACCTAGAGGCCTTGATCTATTTGCCTCCCTCCCCGCTCCTCCCCCCCAGGGAGTTTTAAAATCAGGCTGGCAATTTCCAGACCCCTCACTGCTGGGAGACCTTCTGTGATTGCCCGCCTGGCTTTAGCTGCCGTCTCCTTAGGGTCACCACTGAAGTGAATTTAACAACCTTGCAAGGCCAGGGTAGGAGCCCAGCTCCCTAGGATAGGCAGGGCTGAAGCTGCCTTGCCCCAAAGCACCTGTGTTCTATAGAAACCCAGCCCTAGAGGCCAGCTCAGCTTTGCACTAGGGTGCACAGTCTGTGCAGGACTCTTACGAAAGGCTCTCTTCCTTCCCCCTCCCTGGAGTTGTGACACTGCCGTTTGGGATCTCTGCTTTGCTGCAGCTTCCCCAGAGCTGGGTGAGCATTTTGCTTATGAGGGCAAGGGGCTGGCCATAACCAAGTGAGATCCTAAAACTTTAAATACCCAGGTCTCTGCTCAAGAGGTTTGAGAACAGCCCCAGTGCTCAGTGTCAACCCACAGAGCTGCAGTGTGGTTTGGGGTGACTCCTTCAATCCCAGCAGAGCCAACAGCACCAGCAGATATGTGGAGGCTCCCACATAGCTGTGTAGAGATCTAAAACCTGACTTAAAGGCAGGCTTTTGCCTGGTCAAAAATTCTAAATCCTTGTGCTGTGGCTGCATTTCAGGGGCTGTGTGAGAGCCTTTAGGCTTGGCCTCGCTGAAAGGCCCTAGATCAGGGGTAGGCAACTTTTCAGAAGTGGTGGGCCAAGCCTTCATTTATTCACTTTAATTTAAGGCTTCGCGTGCCAGTAATACATGTTAATGTTTTTTAGAAGGTGTCTCTGTCTATATTATATAACTAAACTGTTGTTGTATGTAAAGTAAACAAGGTTTTCAAAATGTTTAAGAAGCTTCATTTAAAAATAAATTAAAATGCTGATCTTACGCCGCCAGCCTGCTGGGTGTGGGGGTGGGTTCAGGGCAGAGGGCTGGGGGGAGTGTGTGGGGCGGTCAGGGCAGAGGGCTGGGTGTTGGGGGCAACTCAAGGTCAGGGCAGAGGGCTGGAGTGGGGGGGGTACAGGGCAGAAGGCTGGGGTGCTTGGCTCATGGGGGTGCTTCCAGCCCCCTGCCTTGAGCAGCTTATGGCAGGGGAATGGAAGGGATATGCCCTGTTCCATCCCCTTCCCCAAGGCCCGTCCCTACCTCTCGCTACCTGCTCTACGGAGCAGCAAGCACGCTGCCGCTCGGCTCTGCTCCGCTCCCCCTCGCAAGGGCCATCACTGGCGGGGGGAGGGGCCGGAATGCACCATGCTGTGGGAAGAAGCGGAGGGGGGCGAAGCTTGGCTGCCGCAGGACCAAGCTTCTGCCTCCTGCCCCCGCAGAGGAGAGCGGTGAGTTGGGGGGGCTGAGTGGGGCTGGGGGCCGGGACCCCCCCCCACAGCTCTCCCCTGCGGGGGCAGGAGGCAGAAGCTTGGTCCTGTGCCAGCCAAGCTTCCCCCCTCCCCTGCTTCTTCCCACAGCATGGTGCATTCCGGCCCCGCCGCCGCCTCCTCTCACCGGGCAGGCAGGGTGCCACTCAAAATCGGTTTGCGTGCCGTAGGTTGCTGACCCCTACCCTAGATGTAGGGATGACTGGGTGATCAGAACAGGCCTTTATGGACTCCAGCTCTGAATGGCTTTGTTTGTTCCCAGATTCTTAATGTTTCCAGGGTTTGTTAATGCTTTAGTTTCTGGGATCCCCTGAGCCCCCAACAAGATCTATTGCTGAGGGTCCTGTAGAGAGTTTCTCCCCGCTCATGAGGCAGTCTAAGTACCAAAACCAAGCACTCCATGCTATTCTCCCTGCTCCCCTGCATTTCTGACCTCCACCATGGGCTGCACCCTGGAAAGTGGACTCGCAAAGTTTGGGAGGGTGATCCTGCTCTGTAAGATACTGCCATTGTAGGCAAGTCCTATTAAACTAATCTGAATGTATAGTGTGCACTGATCCAAAGCTAGGGAGAGGGTTGGAGTTCAGACTCCTGGCTTTTATTCTCCACTCTGGAAGGGGAGTGAGCTCTAGTGCTTAAAGCAGGAGGCCAGGAGCCATAATTTTTGGGGTTCTAATTACATCCCCATGGAGCATCTGATGTTCCCTGTTGTCTCTTGGGAACGTTGTGGGTGGTAGGGAGCAGAGTCCTGACTATACAGGGATCCTTAGTCAGATCCGGGCAAAGAGCCCCCATGCCCTACTCCAAAGTTGTTTGCCAGCACATACACTTTCCCCACTACATGTACTCCAAGCCCTCTAGTCTTCTTCCACTGGGAACACTCCCTGGTCTGAGCAGGGAAGAGGTCTCTAGTTATACACACTACTAGAAAAGTCAGGAACTGTTCTGTTTCCCTCATTCTTCATCTGTGTCTGTTTCAGCGATTACCTGTTCAAGCTGCTGCTGATTGGAGACTCTGGTGTGGGGAAGTCCTGCCTCCTGCTGCGATTTGCTGTGAGTGTCCCTGCCTTGTGCAGAGCCCCTCATGATCCAGTAGGCAGCTATCTAGCCATACGGTGACAGGCTGGCCACATCTGTTCCAGCGCTGTTGCAGTGAGGCTGTGGTGTCTGAGATGTGGCTACCCTGGGGCATATTTTATGAAAACTCAAACCATCGTACAGTGACCTAGTCAAATTTGCAAGCTAAAGACATTTAGTCCTGTCAGTGTTTGGCTAGGAGACCTCCACACTGCAGAGAACAGCAGAGGTGTAATAGGGTGCCCTCTTCCCACAGTCTGACCCCAGTATCATGCTGGGCAGGAGAGTGCTGAACCACGGGGAGGGCTCAGTAGGGATCTCTGTGCCCTTGTAGTCAATGTTGTCCCAGTGCAATGCTTGAGGACATTGTTATTGGAGGTGCTGCCTTTTGCAAAAGACTTAAAACTGGGTTCCTGACTCTTTGGGTTCAGCCAAGACCTGTGACACTGTCCCAAGAGGCTCTGTAATCACTCTGGTGTCCTGGTCAGTTTCCATCTTGAGTGATTATATTTGGCCTCCTGTAACTCCACATCTGGTTACAGGCTTCACTTCCTGTCCTAAACTTGCACATTATCACTGTGTGCTGCGTAATGGTCCCCATATGCAACCCCAGAGGTGGCTGCATATAGTCTTCTGTCCATAAAGCACTTTGGGGTAGGAGTATCAAGCGTTACAGGGCAGCTGAATGGCTGGTGCTGCATGCCCTTTGGCAATGGGTGGGTACCAAGGAGTTGTCTTGCTAGAATGACAGTTGATTAAAATAGGCTTTTTAAACTGCAGAACCTTCTTGGAAGCTAAGCAGCTCCTGACCAGGATCTCCAAACTACCAAAGCACTTAATAAAAGCCCCTTATTTAAAGGAATCCCAAACCCTCCTCTCTGCTCAGCACTGGGCTGGCATCTGCTCACCTTTTGAGTGGTGGCTGTTAATGTCTGAGGAGTGTTTAGATCCAGGCCACTGGGCATCAGGGCTCTTTGCCCCACCACTAGAATTGGGTGCTGAAGAAGGTTATGAGCACAGACCCCAGCTGTCCTAGTAATCGCCTCATTCTGCACCCTCCAGGATGACACCTACACAGAGAGCTACATCAGCACCATTGGGGTGGACTTCAAAATCCGGACCATCGAGCTGGACGGCAAAACCATCAAACTACAGATCGTGAGTATCTGGCCCCTGACCACAGTGCCGCTGCGTTGACCTCCGGGGACTGGCTCTGGAGGGCAGGGAATGGTATACAGGCCTTTCCCTTCTGAGGGTGCCAGCTCCTATCGTACACCAGAGTGGGGGGCTGGCTGGCTGAGGAGTGTGGGGAATGGAATATGGGGGTTCCCCTCTAGGGGGTGCTGTCTGCCTCTGGAAGAGGATAAATGCAAGGTCCAACCCCTCCCCTCCCTTCTCTTGCAGTGGGATACTGCTGGTCAGGAGCGGTTCCGGACCATCACCTCCAGCTACTACAGGGGGGCGCATGGCATCATTGTGGTGTATGATGTAACAGATCAGGTAATGCTGCCCCAAGTACTCTGGCCCTGCAAGTCCTCAGACAGCTCCCTGACCTCCCTGCATCCAGGGCCCCTCCAGGTTCAGGCAACGGGCCTCCTGCTGGGCACCTAGGGAGCCAGGACCCGCCTGGGTTCTGTCCTGGTTCCAGGACTAGAGCAGTGCTGTAAGAATGCCTCACTGTTGGTAGCCAGACCCTGCCTGCTGGGTGGCAGCAGTGGAGACCGGGCAGTCTCCACTGCTGAGTTGTGGGTGTGTGGGGTTGTTGGGGAAGAGAATGGTCCTGATCACTATTCCCAAGTGACCATCCATACCTACATCCTTTGTGCTGGGCACTGCCCCTTCCTGGGCCAGTGGAGCATTGCATTCCTTCTGCATCTGCCCCAGGCATTGCTGACGCAGGTGTCACACACAGCTATGGCAGCAGCTGGCGTACCCAGGACTGGCCCATAGAGCAGGTTGCAAAGCCAGGCCCAGTGGGCTGCGCTGCCTTCATTTCCGTATTCACCTTGAAGATGGGGAATTGGGCAGTTTCTGAAGATGGCAAGGCTGGCAGCAGCTGCCTGGAGTAGGTGGGAAGGACATCAAGGTAACAGCATCGAAGGACAGCTGCTGAATGTGGGAAGGGCTATACTGGTAGAGCAAGCACTGGGAGCAGGACTCCTCGGTTCTGTCCCTAGCTGAGCTACCAACTCACTGTGACCCTTGTGCCAGTTGCTTCCATCTCCATTTCCTGCCTATGAAATGGAGGTGCACCCTTGCTGAGGGGTGCTGGGGACCTGCTCCCCACTGTGTGGGCGCTGAGCTGTTGCTGTAAGCATGTTGGCAGGGTGGCTGGGGTCCAGCTGAGCCCACGTTCCCTGTTGCAGGAGTCCTACAGCAACGTGAAGCAGTGGCTACAGGAGATCGAGCGCTATGCCAGCGAGAACGTCAACAAGTTGCTGGTGGGCAACAAGTGCGACCTCACCACGAAGAAAGTGGTGGACTACACCACCGCCAAGGTGAGCAGGGCACAGCAAGCCCCTCTGATGCTTGTCGATAGCACTCCCCCTTCTCTCTCTGGCAGATGCAGACAGGCAGCAACTCTCAGGTGGGGCCCTATTAACTGAGTGGCTGTCCCTATTGCAGCGTGTTCCTGCAGTACCAGGAAGCCCCACCAAGGGGCAGCACTTGTCCCATCAGCTGCTTCCTCCCCTTCATGCCTGGCTGTAGCTCAGGAGAAGGGCTTGCTATTTGCCAGCCGTAGGGCCGATCTCCGGGGTTGTGCTGGCTGCCTCCATCCACACTGCCAGCCATGGGCTCTGGCTCCTGGCCACCTGTCTGGCTGGAGGACACTAGATGAGTGCACAGGTGTCTGGGGACAGAACTAGGAGTGATGGTGTGAAATAAGCTAAATTTCTGGGATGTAGCAGTCTGCCCTGTGGCACCAAGCTGCTGTGGATGTGGTTAGGAGTTCCAACCCATCGTCCCGAACTCCTGGGTTCTATTGCTGGCTCTGGGAGGAAAGTCAGGTCTAGTTAGAGCAGGGGCCTCTGGATTCTTTTTCCAGCTCTGCCACTCGCTTGCTGTGTCCCTTTTGGTAAGTCACTTCCCTGGGGTGTGCCTTGGTTTCCCCATCTACAAAGGGGGGGTAATGACTGACCAGACCTACTGCCTGGGAGCTGGGGGTCTGAATGGTGAATATCTGGCTGGGGCAGTGCTGAGACCCCTCTCCCCAAGGGGGTGAGGGCCCTCCTGGGTAGGTGACTCTTGGTGATAGGGACAGCCCTGCCCATATTGGGCCACAGACAGGAGAGGCCTTGCCAGCCTGTAACCCTTTCTCCTCCCCTGCCTTTGCTTAGGAATTTGCAGACTCCTTGGGCATCCCCTTCTTGGAGACCAGCGCCAAAAACGCCACCAACGTGGAGCAGTCATTCATGACCATGGCCGCTGAGATCAAGAAGCGCATGGGCCCCGGTGCCACCACTGGTGGGGACAGACCCAACCTCAGAATCGACAGCACTCCAGTCAAACCAGCGGGCGGAGGCTGCTGCTGAGGCCCAGGACTGAGGGATGGGGTGGGGAGGGGAGGGGACCGTCCAACCCTGTGCTGTCCAGCACCCTCCTCCTGTGGAGTAGCAACTTTCCCGGATGATACCGTGCAGGGGGACGGGACCTCTCTGGTGGGGTGGTGGTTTGGGTTCTCTGCCTGTGTTAATTACTTCCCTTATTGAGTGTGTGGTGGGGACAGACCTGCAAGGTGTGCTCTCCCACCCAGGAGAACTTCCCTCTATGCAGCCTCTTGCCTCAGTCCTTGGTGCCTGATGGCTGGCAGGATTCCTGGCTCCTTCTCGTGGGTTCTCTGCTGCTCCCCTCCCCTTCCTGCTGGGTGCATGGGGCTGCCCCCATCTCCGCCCCCAGCCTCTGCTCTTCTGCCTGCAGCCCCCTTCTCTCCAGTTTCAGGTGTGAGGGTCTCAGTTGGTGGCAGGCTCACCCCCTATCTCTTCCTGGGAAGGCTCCTTCCGGTTAAGCTTGAGCCAAGGCAGGCTGAAGCGGTTCTGCTGCCTGGTACCTGGTTTCCATGGGGCAATTGCTTGTCACAAGCAAAATAATGGCGGTAGGGGCATAGGCCCCTCTGAACTGCTCAAGCTACTCACCACTGGGTTGTGCCCCCTGCCTCCACTCGGGGTCTATGTTGTCCTGGCTCCATGTCTTTTTCATTCCTCTTGCTCCCAGTGGCGCAGAGACTTCTGTTTAATCCCCTCTCTGCTGCAACTTGGGGTCCCCTTTCCTCCCACTGCCTTGCTCTAGTTCAATATTTATACCCCTGCGGCAGACCCTCCCACAGTGCCGCAGAGTGGCTGTGACGCAGGGCTGGCCCAGGAACGCTGAGCGGAGCCTGATGCTGCCACTCCACCTCCGTCCCTTAGCTTCCTCACCTCACCCTGCTGAGGCCATCTCCCAGTGCTCCCCAGCCACATGGGGCAGGCAGCTGTCCCTGGGCCCCCCATACCAGGCCCACTGAATGTATTCAGGGTAGCATGGACAGTCAGGGGCCTTAGAACTGATCAGAGGCCCATGGGCTGCTTGTTCAGCCCCCTCCCCAGGGCTCTTCCTGGCTCGGGAGCTCTCAGCCCTCAGGGGGCTAATGCACTGAGCAGCTGTCCTGCTTCCCTCCAGCTGGGAAGCTCTTGCACTTTCTGTGGAGCAAGTGCATGGGGGCTGGGGGCTGCCCTCTACTGCTTAGCTCCCCTCTGCAGCGCCAGCCCTTCCCATCATGACCAACCCCCAGCCCTGGCAAGAAGGGGAAGCTGGGGGCCTGAGTGCATATCCCTCTGCTGTGCCCAGCCCCCCCACCCCCACTGTCTGGCCTGGCCATGGCCCTGTTTAGGGTAGTGGGAGGAGCCGGCTGGATGGTTCATTTGTTGGCTTTTTTTTTTCCACTAGTGACATTATTTAAAAAAAAAAATGGAACAAAAAAATCCCAAAATAAAGGTGAGTGCCTCTGCGGGGAGGCTCCCGCAGCCTGCACCCTTCTTCCTGTGAGCAGGCCTGCTGGGGTGTGCACTGCTGGAAAGGGGGGAGGCACGTGGACTGGGCCAGATGCCCCCTCCCCTCTGGATCAGGCAGCCCCGGTACAGTGCAGGCACTGTCCAGCCCCCTACCTAGGCTCCCCCAGCTAGTGTGAGCTCAGCTGAGCTGGGCACCTTCTGGCTTCCTTACCCCAGTCAATGGGGCAGGCATTGTATTGTTAGAACTGACACGCTCACTCTTTCCTGGCTGTGTACCTGCTGTTCTTGCTCCCTGGGGCTGCCCGGAGCTGAGCTCACCTGCTTGCGCCTGCCATGGAGCACGGCAGTGTCCTTGTGCTGAGCTCCCCTGCCATTTTGGAAGACTCAAAGCTGGAGGAGAGGGAGACTGCAGCCCCTTGACCCAGCTTTGGGTTCAATTTTAGAGCAGGGCAGGTGTAAACCTGCCAAGGGGGTTGGAGCAAAATCCCAATCCTGGGCTAGACTGTTGCAGTAGCAGGAGTGCTGGCCTGTTGCACCCAGCTACAGAGCTGTGGATGTATTGGGGCAACTATCTCCCCCAGCAGTGGGGCAGTATCTTGCATGCTGGCTAGGGATGACTCAGGTGCCTGTAATTCTTTCACTGCCATGTGTGGCCCACTGTGGTGTTGGCTTGGACCATAATCTCTGCGCCAAGCAGCGTAAGTAGGATGCCTGTGCTGTCTGCCCCTGAGGGGGGTGAGGCCCTGGCATAGCTCCCCTCCCCTGCCTGCCTTGCTCCTGCTGGCTGCTTAACTGTATCACACTGATCTCACCTTAGTTTGTGCGTGCAGGTGTGTGGTAAACTTCCTGGAGCTGCTGGCAGGTTCTTTGATGCCATGGGCAGGGAGGACAGTGTACAACCCTCGCCTAAAGGAAATCCCTCATCTCCCCTAACACTGAGACCCAATCCTGCCCTTGATTGCTGTAGCCGTGTTTGACTTGCTTCACTGTGGCAGGGGGCCAGGGCTGGCTCAGCCCTGGATTGGTGCCTGCCCCCCAGCTTGGGAATGAGCTGAGTGGGTGATGGACCTGCATCAGCCGGTGCTGGCTGGGGGCTGGCTGTACCTTGGGGTAGGGGTCACCCTATGTAACCTGTTAAATGAGATCTGGAAAATGAGCATCTCAAGCAGGGCCCTGCAATTGCTACCGAGAACTGTAGCTCTTCTGTTAAGGGTGGCTTGGGTCCCCCCCTCACTGCCAGGGCCAAGTGTTCACTTTGCACTGGCTTCTTTCTAGGCTGGGGGCTGGATCTGCCACCACAAGCAGCACCAACTTGGGAGGATCTAGGACAGGATTTAGGGGAGCAGCTGGGAGCCTGGGGGGAGGGGCAGGGCCTTGCCCAGACAGGTACCTCAACTGTCTGGCAACTTCTTCTCCCAACCTAGCTCCCCCTGGAGAGGGAGAACTTACAATCCAGGGTCAGCATAGGTCCTGCCTAGCTATCTGTCCCCTATGTGGGTGCTGCTTCCCTGTATGGGTCAGAGAGCTGGGCCTCAGCTGGAGTATGCCAGTACGTGACAGGTGCCTGTGTGCTGCTAATACCAGATCTGTACCAAGGGCAACATTGGGCACAGTCTCCCTACCCCCCCTCTGACCTGCAGAGGAAATAGCAGGTGCCTTTATTCAGCACAGGTTCAGCCAATGGCTGCTGAGGTGAGAGCGGGCTATGCTGAGCTATTGTGTCCTCCCAAGAACAATCCACTATTTTAAGCCCTTTGCTATCAAGAAATAAGGTCACTGCAAGGGCAGGAGAAACAGCAGCATGAGTTTACCCAGCAGCAGGAATTACCCCCCTAAACACACCTGTAGGTTCACACACACACCCTGGTTGCTGTATCTGTACATGAGGTGACAGATCCCTGCCCAAACACCCCCACGTGTGTGCCTCTCCCCCCCCCCCCCGGGTGGCTGCATCTCCACACCAGCCAAGGGATCCTTGTATAACCAGCCTTGTGCCCTACCCCAGGGGCAACTGCATCCCCATTCTGGGCAAAGAATCCCTCCATCAATACCCCAGCACTCTCCCCTCCCCCACCTCCCAGGGGTGGCTGCATCTCAGCACTGAACCAGGGCTCCCTGTATAAACAGCCTGCCAAAGGCTTTGGAATGAAAGGTTTTGAAAAATAGAAAATCTTGCTGTGGAAGTGTCTAAACGGGGGGCTATTTCTCAGCAGAGCTGGGCTGCGTGAAGCTATCTGGTTGAATCCTTTACTAGAAGAAATTCCCATGAATGTTTTGGAAAGTTCTGATTTTGAAAAGTTCTGATATGGCTGTGGATTGCACCTGCCCTTTGAAATAAGGCTGGGGTAGCCCTAGGGCCAGAGATGTGCCTTTTGCTGTTCCATGGAACCTGGTGCCTGTCTGGCTGAGTTCTAAGCTTCTGAAAATGGCCCTTTTCCCCCCTGTGGTTGCTTGATCCATCAGGATTTTGGCAGCAAGACAAGGACCGTCCGCATTTGCCAACCCTGGCTGGGGCATCTCACCTCTGCCCCTGGCTAGAATGCAGCTACAATGGATCATCTTCAAAGTACCCTTGGCCCCAGGAGAATGGGCTCTGGGCTGGGAACCTGCTATACTAGAGTTGCTTATTGGTTGCTGTTAATTCTGTGTACTTCACAGTCCCTAGTTCAGCATGGAGGGATTGGATAGTATCTCTAAACACCTGGGAGCAGGCCACCTGGGAGCAATTCCGGGCCTCAGGGCTTCCACATGCCAGCCCGGTTGCCTTCGCCACCATCAGTACCACCCTGTGTGCACCTAGGAGCCCTGTGGCCTGCCCAGGCAATTTAAAAGGGGCTGGGGCTCCTGGGCCCTTTTAAATCGGGCAGGGCCCTCCCTGGGCCTTTGCCCTGCCCCCCACCAGTGCCTCGGCCTGTGGGTCCTCTCCTAGTGCTCACCATATTCTGTTTCAGACCCTGGCCAGAGCAGCTGTGTGTCTGGAGCTAAGCCTGGCATGTCATGTGTAGTTAGTAAACAGGGCTGTCTGAATCCATGGTTCCTTCCTGTTACGCAGTTTGTGCAAAGAGCAAAAAGCACAGATGCTTGTTATTAAGGACCCGCCTTGAGGTTACACAATCTGTGAACAGTACCCAGGTGGCACTCCATGCCCATCAGAGCACCCCTGCCACAGCTTTGTGCATAGCAACCCCTAACACTGCTGGGGCATCAAAGCCAGCACAGACTGCACTAGGCAACCCCCCGGGCAGTACAGCACCCTCTGGAGCCAGCACTGACTTTAAGGGGAGAGTGCACCCTCCTGAACCCATGCCCTTCTTCCTGCAGTAGTGTCCTCTAACTCCTAACTGAGCACTGGGGCCAGCACTGACTGGGAAGAGAGGGGTGGTGCTATTTGCTGTGCTAGAGGCTGGTCGCAGGGCATAACAACCTTCTCTTGCTGCTGGTTCAAGTGGTAGCAGGCTGGGTGTCAATGCTGAAGGGACTGGGAGAGCCGAAATCCGATGGCGGGCACACAATTGAACAGTTTAGGGTTGCACATGAGAGTTTTTTTTCCTTTCAAAAATAAAAACTTGGGAAACTGCCTCCTCCCCCCCCCCCCCCCCCACTTAAAGGCATATGAGTTAGGCTGGGAACTCAAGCCCTCAGGAGTTAAGAAATGCCACAGCAAAGGCTGCCCCATTTACTCTGAACTCTGCCTGCCTGTGCCAATGCACTGAGGTCCAGCTTTGACCATGTGGTCACAGACTGCGCCACTGGTGACAAGCTCACACCAGCAGTTGATCCTGCGGCTTTAAAAATAATCATTTGGGAGGTTTGTTCTCTTTCCTCTCACCTCCCTGAACCTTTCAGGGTCATGTTTGTAACCTCTTCTCCACTAAAAACTGTACACCTTGCAAGGTGACATTCTCCCAGATTGTTGTGAGTCCAGGAAAGGTGTCCAATAGTGTGAGATTTGGGATAGAATCCTGAGAGCGGGCACCACTGGATATTTGCCCCAGGGCCCTGCCTCGCTTATTGCTTGGGATGGCTGGTATGAAGGAATGTGCCTAGTAGCAGTTCTTTTCTCTACCATGTATGTTCCCATCTCTGCACACTGGCAGCTCCTAGACCCCAGGGCAGATCCAGGCTCAGGATTCCTGAGTCAGGAATCTCCCAGAGAGTTGCTTGAAATTTCAGGTTTGGGGGAGGGAAAGAAATGACCTTTCCTGGGGGAGGAGGGATGACATATTTCTCTCTCTCTCTCTCTCTTTTCCCAACAATTTATATCCAATGTTTTAGCAGAAATAGCATTTTCCCTTCACCAACCCGCCCCCCCCAGATCTGGGTCAGAACCAGGGCCGGCTCCAGGCACCAGCCCTCCAAGCATGTGCTTGGGGCGGCACTTGGAAGGGGGCGGCGCTCACCCAGGGAGAGCAGGGCCGCGGCCGGGCTCGCCACCCTCCCCCGGCGCTCCGGCCGGCCAGGGAGAGCGGGGCCACGGCCAGGCTCTTCGCCCTCCTCCCGGCACTCCGGCTGGTCGGGGAGAGCGGGGCCGCGGCCAGGCTCAGCGCCCTCCCCTGCTGTGCTCCCCGCCAGGCGGCAAAAAAGCCAGAGCTGGCCCTGGTCAGAAACCCCAAAGCAATGATAAGTGTTTGATTGGAAAATGGGACAAAATAGGAGCCTCTTTGAACCTCACAACATGGGAAATGATCAAATTTCCTGCTCCATTTCTGCAGCATTTCTTCCCCCTCCCCCAACTCTGAACCCCACCAATTGCCTCATCGCTCTCGAGTCCTTTTTAGGGGGAGGCCCATCAGCATGGCATCAGGGCACCTCACCGAATTCAGTGTGTTTAGTTTCACACACTGCTGGGAAGGGTTCTTGGCCAAATTGTATTGATGGGAAGCTGAGATGCAGAGACATTTGGTGACTTGCCCATGGTCGCCCAGGGATTGGGATCCAGGTCTCCGGGGGCTTAGGCTGGCACCAAGTTGCCTTCCTGTGAGAGTGGTGTGATCCCTGTTTTACAGAAAGGGACCTGAGATATTAGCTCAGTTG